TGATAGTGTCAGGATTTTGGCATTGTCTGGATCTTGGCATTGTCTGGATCTTGGCATTGTCTGGATCTTGGCATTGTCTGGAACTTGGCATTGTCTGGAACTTGGCATTGTTGGGAACTTGGCATTGTCGGGATCCTGGCATTGTCGGGATCTTGGCATTGTCAGGATTTTGGCATTGTCGGGAGTTTGGCAGTCAGGATTTTGGCATTGTCGGGATTGTGGCATTGTCAGGGTCTTGGTGACTGTTGGGATTTTTGTATTGTTAGGATTTTGGTATTGTCGTGATCTTGGTGATGTGGGGATCTTGGTGATGTCAGGATCTTGGTGGTGGGATTTTTGGATTGTCAGGATTTTGTCACTGTCGTGATTGTGTCACTGTCATGATTGTGACACTGTCGGGATTTTGGGTGTCGGGATTATATAGATAGTGTCAGGATTTTAGTATGTCAGGATTTAGGACTGTCGGGATTTTGGAAGTGACAAGATTTTGGTATCGGGATTTTAGGTGTCGGGATTTTAGTACTGTCGGGATTTTGGTGTCAGGATTTTGGGTGTTGGGATTTTGGGTGTCAGGATTCTAGGGTAAGACCTTTTTTAATACTGTCTAGTCAAGTAGCAAATTTTGCTATTTCGAATAAATTCGAATTAGTTTGAATCACATCAAATATTTCGTAATAAATTACATAATAATATTTCATAATATATTTCATAATATTTCATAATTAAAAATTTCAAAATATTTCATGTCAATCATAATTAGGCTATATAAAAATTTTTTTTTGGTTTTCATAACATAGAGATGTTTAAACTGACCTGGCTGGCCGGCTTTTTTTTAAAAATTTTATATATAAAAATTTTATAAATTATTTTAAACTTTTTTTTTAAAAACCTACCCGGTTATTAAAACATATAAAAAAAATTTTTTATAAATTTTCAAATTTTGACCCGGCCGGGTTATAAAACCAAGAATTTTTTTTTATATGACCTTATTGCAAATTTTTCAGGGTATAATAACTTTCATAAGATTACATTTATATCTTTTGCTGATGTAATAGCATTATTGATAGCATTTACGTGATATACTTAACATACATATTTGGTAGCATTCATATGTGTTAGAGTGATGACAAAAAATTGATTGCGTTGTCATTCATATATGTTAGAGTGATGACAAAAAATTGATCACGTTGTTATTCATATGTGTTAGAGTGACGACAAAAAATTGATCGCGTTGTCATTCATATATGTTAGAGTGATGACAAAAAATTGATCACGTCGTCATTCATATGTGTTAGAGTGATGACAAAAAATTGATCGCATCATCATAAGTAGATAACAGTCTAATGTAAGTTGTTTCCTACTATAAAATTAACAAATACAGAATTTAGTCAATGTTTTTAAATAAAAATCAATCAAATGCTTATGTCTATTATAAATATTTTCCCACTTCTGTGTTTTTTATTCCACTCACTTAATTTCTTGCATTTGTTATTTATTTATCCTTTTTTTTCTAATTAGTAATCATATTGCTAAACTGCTAGTTTGGGACTTTGTACCAAAACAAATTGCGAGATAAAAAAAAAATAAATCGATCTGAGGATTTGGCAACAAAATTATTGTTATAGATCTTTTAGAATCTTATATATTTCAAACTAGGACCAGACTGCTGATCAGGTACTTGCATAAACAGATTTAGACCTAATATTTTCGGATCATTTACCGTTCGTTATTGTTATGCCAATATGTTCTAAAATCAATTATATCACTAATATTATATTTTCACGAAATTTTGTGACTTACGTATTATTTTCTTCAATAATTAAATTTGATTTTATAATTCATATTAAGAAGTTGAAAAGTAACTAAGTAGTAATCAAGTTTAAATAATGACTTTATTTTTCCATGAAACGTTTAGGTGATTAAACACAAACATCGATCGGTCAATTAAATATAGAGAATAAAAGGTGGTTTAGTGAAGAGTGAAAACTTCAAACTAATAAAGACAATTAATTACACTTAGTGTGTCAAAAGACAAAGCAACTTGACTAATTGCATGTATAGTAACTTTGATCAAAATTATTGCAAAAAAATAAAGAAAAAAAAATTTTTAATCAATCATTTAATAATTACTAAGCATTCTGCATTCCGACGACTGCTTTATTCGCTTTGGCCTGTTGATGCAAATGATAAGGAACTAATCCTTTTTGGCTTCGGGTTTGCACCAGCTATAATCCAAATTATAGTTTAGAGTCAATTTAAAAATGACGATTATGGCGAAGAAATAATGTACCTGAACGTGCAATTACAAGAAGTATATCCGTCAGGCTCACCTATAGAGCAAAAATAAATGGATATAATTAGAATAACGGCATGGAAATAGTCAAGGATACAAACTTACTAATATAGCTAAAAATAATAATAATAATAATAATTTACCACACCAATAGCGCGCATCCGTTCGTCCACCACCCAAAGACGATGCGCTTTTGTTGCAGATAATTTGGCGATGGTATAGCCTAAAGTTGATGTTGGACGAACATCAAATACAGGATATCTGTCCTATACATTCAGGTTTAGAGGTTGCTTTAAATAATAATTAAGTATGAATAATGTAATATTATAAATAATCACCTGTCCATCCTCAAGTCCTTGTCTGCTTCTCACATGACTAACAAATTGTTGGCACGTCTTCCACATTAAAAAGTGACTATAACTTCGTAAAACATACTAATATAGGAAATAAAAGTAGGTAGAGATGAATTAGATGGCATAAAATAGCCATCTCAAATCTTACAAACCTTGATATCTGTCATGCTTATGTTGCCAATTAACAACCCTTCAGAATCCACAATAGCAATAGAACTGAGACCATTGTTATCTGCAAAAAAAATTTCGTGCAAATTAGTATAATAACATATAAAGATAGAATACTCCAATCTATTATCTGTTTATTCGGATAATTATCAGATATTCGCTATCCGTTATTATCTGATCTGAATTTATCCGGATATCCATTTTATATTGATATCCGAATAATTATCCGAATATCTGTCAGATACGGATAAGTGGAGTACGGATTATCCGAATAGGAACTCTATATAAAAGAATATTATATAATAAACATGACATACTCATCATTGTCAACGCGTCAAGCACAAATGAATCGCCTAGAGCAGAAACTACAAAGCCCTTGCCTATATCAAGCTCATTGAGCTAAATAACAAACTAAAGCATGTTAAATCAATAACTAACGAAATATACAAATTTAACATAAAATTACATACAATACCGTTTTTGGGAAAAGTTGCTCAATTGGTGGAAATTTGGTCACCTAGCAATCATAAAAATTAATAGATCGTTCTTCAATAATAAACAGGAATAAACAGGTGAAAGTAAGAACGTATAATACATTTTCATAAAAGTAATTAACTACTCTTGATTGAGTTAAAATTCCTTTGAGAATTCCGTCCGCGTCTACAACAGCAACTGTATAATTTTCGATTTTTTTTTTTTTTTTGATTAATGAGGCTGTAAAAAGCATTTAAGCAGATTAAAATATTTTACGTGCTAACCTCTATGAGTTCCACTTCCAAACAATTCAACAACTTGTAGCAACGATGTCTCTGGAAGTACACTATAAAAGGGATTTTTCTTGGAAAGGTCTAAAAATGGAATTAAATTTATATCGATATCAGCAACGCAACAAGCTGATAAATAGAATTTATAAATATCTAATTATTTTTTTTATCATAATCTTGCCTGAAGCTAATTTAACAGGAACAGGTTGACAATGACTTGCCAATTTCACTAAATCATTAAATTCAGCAGATAATTCAGCATCACTTTTCTCTTGTTGTTTCATAGCATCTTTTTTCTTAAGGACAATTAACAGATATGTCATAACGTCCGCCCAATCGAACATGCCAGAATAGCTATTCGTTGAAGCATCATAGACTGGTGCGGAAGATATATTGTTTTGCGTGAGAATCTGTGACAAAAGACAAGCTTTGAGAGATAGAAGTAAAATTTTCCAAATTAAGCTGTTAATAATTTGATATGCTCACGTCACAAGCTTCTTCAATTGGTATCTCTCCGTCACTAAAAAAAAAAAAAAAATAAATAAATAAATAATTCATATGTTGCCTTGTTAATATTTGAGGTGACGGCGCCATATCCACGCTTATGAAACCACAACGCTTACATTACGATAACCTTTTGATCAATTACAAGGTCAATGGCTTTAACTAATGTCCAGTCATGAGTTTCAGTGGTAAGACCTTCACGGTGCACGTCGCCTCCTGATAAAGTTGAGCGACGAGAACTTGGAAGTCCAGTTATTGGGTCCATTATTAGCGTCAAGATTTGCTAGAATCAAGTAATCAAGTATGTGCAAGCATTACATAATTTATAATGATAAGTAAAAAGTCATCCGATATAATGGGCATTACACAACAATGTCAGCGGATTTGGGGAAAAATCGACTGATAACTATTTTTGGTTTCTTTTGAGGTTCTATCGCTATGATTTAATTCATTTATTAGAGAAAGCAATTACGTATAATTGTGCACCCTTTGATAATATTACAATAACATAATTCCCGCATAAAATTTTTTATATGCACATTTATTTTTTGAACCACTATTAACTACGTATGAGTGAAAACCCGAAACTTATAATAGTAAATCATTATACAGTATGCAAGTTGCAGGTTTTCACTCTCACGCGGCGCTTATATATATAATTATTCATATCTTTATACGTGTATAAAACACTGAACATTTTTCTTAGGGTCCCGATGGTGTGATTTTAGGGGAACGTGACTGTCGGTGGATTTTTACACAACCCCCAAAATTAAGGTTAGTGCCCAAATTAGGTTACGAATTTTTTGGGGTGGAATTAGACTAGTAAACTCATTATATATAACGATATAAAATTACGTATGTACTGTACGTACGTACGTACGAAATAAATGTTTTTATCTGTTATTATGATGCTGGCGCTGTTTCCTTTTTCCCGGTAATCAGTTAAAGAGTGGGGCAGTTTTTATTACCGTTTTTTTTTTTATTTTGAGGGCGCTTTGTAGGACGTACAGATCATTTGACCATTCGTATTAAGATTCAGGAGTCATTACCGTTAAATTAATTATCGTTCATTATGTTTAGGGATAAGTAAAAATGCCCAGTTAACTAAATCCGCCGATATTTTATTCGACATTAAAAATGATTCATTAATAGTGATCGACAGTAAGGCGAAGAATTCAACTCGATTTTTTCTACCGCCACCTTAAGAGCTTTTTTGATATTGCAGTTTTCACCATTTCAGTAAAATATCTATACTCAAACAGTTATTGTATTTTACAACTACAAAATAATTTAGATCCGAAAAATAATTTATGATGTATCTCCACCTAATAACAAAATATGATCTTCTTGATCTGAAGGTTTAGCAGATCTCAAAAAACAGCAACATACACTATTTTTAAGTCCAGTTATGCTACGTTTAATGCTAGCAATCAACTGATCACGTTTAACATAGATCCATGGTTTAGAATTTGATATCCGATCAATGCGTAAGCGATGGGAGGTATCAATGCACGTGAAGATACAAGCCTTTAAAAATATACATATACAACAAATGAGTATGAACAGATACAGACAATTAAATAACAATAATAAATATTAATATTTCTTACAATGATCGACATAAGAACGCCTAAAGCTGATGAAGCAGAAATCATAAACATAATAATTTGTTGATATTTTATTGCATCCATGATAGGTGCACCGCCAATTAATTGACCCGTCAGCATTCCTATATAACACAGTAATCGTTATTATAAAATTGGAAATTGGCTTTTTTTATTTTTATTGATTTATTTTATTTTATTTTACCTGGAATAGAGATCAATCCGATTATACTGAAAAAAAGGTGTAATGGTTTTATATTTATATTCTCACAATTCAACACAATTAGTATATCAAGTATCAAATCCTACAAACCTCATTGAATTAATAGTAGGTAACATTGCCAATCTGATTGCTTCTGTTGCAACAGGACGTCCAGCCTCCCATCTGCTGGCGCCAAAAGCTAAGTACATTTCTATTTTTTCTTTCTGTTCACTGAATTGTTCCAACGCATAGGATACTCCAACAGCTATTGCGGACATACAATTTCCGAGCAGCATGCCCATTGTTGGGATGAATACCTGAGGATCCCAAAATGGTAGTTGATGCATAGCATAGCGAGATCCTTTAAGCAATTATTGAAAAGAAGACGCAACGAAATGGTTTAAAATTTTGTTTTATATTAACAAATGAAAGTTCTAATAATTATGAAAAATTCGATCATACCTACCGATTATTCCAACCACAATTGTGCTCATCCCTAGCGATACCAGCACGGATATATACTAAAATATCCCAATAACAATGAAATAACAATAGTAAACAATACTAAAAAAAATTCTTTTAATATATTTACCATTCCTGCATGCCGTCTTTTGCTTTTGTTAAATACGATTTCATTGGCTCCCATGAAAACAAGCACAACTTGAAAGGTCACAAGACCAAAATTATTACAAACGTCGAATCGAGCGACAATGATGTAATAAAAAAAAGATATCTACATATCATTCCTAATACAACAGCCGGATGCCGCATTCTAAAAACATCTGCGAGGACTAATCCCTAGTTAATGAGGAATTGTTAAAATTTCGTAAAAAAAATTACCACAAAATTTTATCGATTTAAACGATCGATTTACCATAATCGTTAGTTGTACAATGCATCGAACCGAGCTAATTAATAAAGATTTTTCTAGACGTAATCCAAGCCACAGAGAAATTAAACCTGTAAAAATCCGAAATTTTAGGATTGGTTTCGTCAAAGCAACGTAAAATACTTCAAAAGGTAAGTACTCATACCGCTGACGAAAATAAACAAAGAGGCTATTCCAACGTTCCACCAATAAAGGGGAATATTGTTAGGGTTATCCGGGCAAGTTCCATTTTCCGCAGATTGCAATAGTGGTGGTGAAAACAGAAGAAAATTCATGATGAACGTCAAAATCAGAAAATTGCGTATGCCCGTGTCTATATCAAAGTCTAGTGTTACACATCATATCGATCAAGATCTAGCGCTAGTTCATATGAAGTTCGTGTGACTGGCTAACGTAAATCAATTGCCTGGTGCATACTAGTCATAAGCACAAAGTGTCATAATACGTAGGCATTATTAAGGGCAATGGTTTGCCATCTAAACGCTTGGCATCTTGTACTCATGGCCAAGTTTTGTGTCAAGTTGTTGTGCCTATACCTCTTTCAAGTTTTTGTGCTTGGCGTGTACCAAGGTTGAGTTCAGCGGATGATAGTCCGGATTATGATCCAAAAAATTATCATTTCATTTTTATTTTTTTAACTAACCGGTAAGATTTTACAGTCGATACTGTCTAACGCTAATGCATACTGTCGGGAAAGACAAAAAAAAATCAATTGTATGCATTTACATAGTATTAACCAATCAGATTTCAGAAAATTAACTGTCTAAATGCATATTATTATTGATTTTTTTTTAACAATTACAGTATAAACGCGAAATAACGCCCACCTGCACGTTAATTGATTGACCTGTGCGTTATTTCGAGTACGCCTATGTACGTTATTTCGAAATAAGGGATGATTATTTTAACTAAAACGCAGAAATCCCTGGTACATCTACCCGATTAGCCGTTATTACAGGCCGGATATAATCACTAATTCTATTGGAATGCGCGTTAATTTGGGACGTCCATGGGTGCTGATTAGAGACCACGTATGTTATTTTTGAAGAACATGATTTTCAAAATAACGTCCACGAGCGTTATTTCGCTCTTATACGGTTATATGGATATTAACACCAAATGTAATTAAATAGCTATTAAAAACTATTACGTACAAGGCTTAAATTCATATATACTGTATAGTTAACGTTAAGAAAAGCTTTTTAAAAATAAAAAGTCTTGGCGTCATCCGGGGTGGTAAATAATTTATTGCCACCCTGTCTAAATACAATCAATTTAGTATTTAATTTAATTTATACAAGGTGGCAATCAATTATTTACTACTCGGGGCGGTACCAAGACGACTCCTTTTAAAAAATTTGTTATTGTACTATATATATTAATAGTCATACGTATGCGTACGTACTTGCTTTAAATTATAAAATTTTAATTATATGTATAAATTCTTATTAAGAATTAAACTTTATATTTTCTAATATAAATCTAATACATACAGTACAGACATATCAGAATTTTTACAAATAGTTGAGCCTTTATAACAATTAAGAGGTAAATCGCGGTAAAGGGTATAAAAATAGTAAATTTAATAGTAGAAATCGTCGGAAGTTGTGAAGAGTTTAAATAGGGATCCTAGGTATGGCAATTTGGTGGGTAACTATAGATAGAAATAGATATGCATCGATATCGATACGTATGGCAAAACCCTTAAATAGGCAATGACCAATTGTACAATGTAACAAAGTCAGATGCGCTCTTCGTGACTGTACTGGCGTTTGAACTAATGTTAATAAAACGTGTTAAGGCCCTAAGAGGTCACGTTAAAAAAAAAAACTATCGAAAGTTAATATAGTTTTTTCTATTGGAATGGAGTGCGGCTAGCTTACAATGAAAAGTTTTTTTTTAAGTAAGCCTTCTTTGAGTTTCTAACAAATATTATAGAACAGGCTATTCCGGTTCTAATAGTGGTAGAATCATTAAAATGATCGCGAGTTATTGACATTTCACCTTCATGACTATATGATTTTTACATATTACCAGAAACTTTCGGCATTCCAACATTATATGAAAGTAATAGTAATTCTCCGCCGATTTTTACTATGAAATTTATACGCGATCTACCACTTAAGTTATTAATTAATTATTTTAACAAGGACTTAAGACCATAAATAAAATTTTTTACCATATAATTTATTATAGATATTTTGTTAGATTAAAGCTATACTTAATACTACGTATTAATAATTAAATTTACTATATTCTATTATGAATAGCGTTCTCTTTTTTTAATTTCACAACCGAAATTATTGGGTGTACATTCATAAGAGAATACCTTTTCATAAAAATGATCTGGTTTTCTAAATGATAAAGTATGATATTGTAAGATGGTCGTTATGTAAGAAATATGTAAATATTGTTATATATACATGCATATATACATGCATATATACTGTATATATAGATCCTTTGAATATCCGTTGTTGCTATTCACGGGTTTTAGTCATTCATGAATAATATTGAATGAATATCAGGATTGTATATGGATATCCATATACAATCCTGATATCGATATC